TATTAATATATATATATATATGTGCCAATCTTTTCACTGCCTCCCCTTTGTTGTTTTTTTTTAACTTTCTTCCTTTCTTTCTTTTCTTATATTTTTAAACTATCTCCTTTTTCCTTTTTTTTCCTTATCTACCCTTTTTACAAAATTTTTATCTTTTTTATTCTGTTATACTTTTTTTTATTTTCTCCAAATTAGCCCTCATAAATATACTTCTTTTTAATTTTTTATTTAAATAATTTCTTCTCACACATATCTCAGTCTAATTTTTTTTTTAAAAATCACGTTCCTCTGTTTTCTCTCTCTTTTTTTCATTCTTATCTTTTTTGTTCTATTGTACATTTTTTTATTTCTCTAATGTGACCTTAATAATAAATATGTTTTTCATTCTTTTCTAAAGAATCTCGTGCGCGTATGTATGCAGTCTAAAGTAGTATATGTTATAAAGATAAGATAATTAAGAAGAATTGTATTATCTGACTTTTGTATTGTCAAAGAGCGGGCATTTATATATACGTAGATGAGTTTTTAATAATTATATTTTCATGGTGATTACTCATTAAATAAAAAAATTTGATGACGTGACGTGATCAAAATTCAATTTCATTAATTGTCATAATTTTTTGTGGAAAAATAAAAAAAAATACTACTCAAGATGGTAAAAAATATTATTTATGTCATTATACTCAAAGTAAATAATTGTCAGTCAACTAATATAGAGAAAAGGGAAAGATATGATGACACCTAATTATTTACAATGGTATAAATAATAGACATATACAAAACCATGACAAAACATGTATTTTTTTCTAAATTATCAGATCAATACAATGATACTCATTAACGATGGGTAAATATTATAGTAACCATTAAAAAAAAACCACATCGCTAGTGCAATATTCGAAGGATATCTAAAATTAGGGATTGGTGGTCAATTATACAATTAAGGATAGCTACAATAAGGAATGAGAACCCCTTCACCAAAGTTAACATAAACAGATATGAATCAAGTATCCTTGTTGTGCCGTACATTCAAAATCCTAGTTCAAACATAGCCTTCCACATTAAAAAAAAAAAAAAAATGAATACCATGATCAAAGGTAAACAAAATTTGAAAGCAAAAGGTCGTCCTATAGTCTTTAATTATAATTCTTATGAGTCTTTATTCAACGCTTTACATCATAAAGACCGCGCTAAGTTTCATAACTAACAACTATGTAGAAGGAGGGTGAAATTGACTTTCAATTTTACTCCTATGTTACTTTCTTTACTATATATACAGCTTCCCATTTCTAGTAAGTATGAAGAGGTGTGAGGATCATGTGATCCTAAGAACAAGTAAAATACATGATCAGCTTTGATTCCTAAGTTGTTGGACTCTCGCCTTTTCTATAAACTCTCCCCATGAAGACGGAATTAAAAGTGTATATATGATAAAATGGCCAACATACACTCAAAGAATAAAGATGGTGCCTAAATGCCATGGCCAGCTTGCAAATAATTACCAAGAGCGATTTTGATTTGCTATGTTGTCTTTTTGTGGCGTGACACATGCAGGAGAATCAGCCGCCAGAATAGTTGTATAAGACTAGTCTTGAGTAATAATTTCCTTCACAGTCACACCGCGTAATATACATGTATATATGCGAGTCTTTGCACTAAAATAATGTGGTGGGTGAGAGTTAATTAGCAATGTGGTGTGTTATACACAAGATTAATTAACTCCTGGCCGAAGTTGACGCAAGTAATTAGTATTAATATTTCTATCTAATCTCCTCCCTCCCCCATAGGAAACAAAAGTCCTCATTAATCACCAACTATAGTGCAACAAACTTAATTGATAAATTTATTGTGTAGATGAGCTGATAAAAAAAAATAGCGTTTTTAGCACATTTGCTTCTTAAACTTATCGTGGTTTAGGAAATTGCTCTCCTAAACTTTTGATTTTGGCAAGTTACCCCCTCAACTTATAAAGTTATTACAATATGTCTCATTTTGACGACGATTGCGTTAAATTAGTGTAAAAAAAAACACGTTCAACTAAAAATTTTATTCCAATTCAAATGTAACACAAATCTCAATGTCACAATTTTTAATCCTTTAAATCTAATAAAAAATTGAGCAAATTTAGTTAAATAGGACATATTGCAATAAATTTACAATTTTAGAGGACAACTTAATAAAATTAAAAGCTTAGAAGATAATTTACCAAATCACGACAAGTTCAGGGCAATTGTGCCGAAACCCCCCAAAAATATATTATATTGTGTACGTATGTTGATTATGGGGAGGTTTCATTCAGGAGTATGTAGCTTTCAAATAATAAAAACATCATAAACGTTCGGATGCGTATCATTAATCCAGTATGGATATATGGGTTGAAAACATATTAACGGTCATGATCACGACTTCTTTATTGTCATGTACTTAAAAGTTAAAACATGCAATATCACATGACGACGTATATCCGGTACATCACATATACGGATAATGTGTGTGTGGGTGATATAAATTTGATTATTATATGAACTGAACATACATTTATATTTTTTGTTTGTTCGATTGTGCATGTACGAGACCTAGACTAAATGTAAATGGGCATCTATATATGCAGAAGTCACAATAAATTAATTAACCATCTTAGAACTTTAATGATTTAATTTTTAATCCCACTTTTTCTTTTAGAAATTTTTTTTTAATCCCACTTGATAAAAATTAAAGATGAAATATATGTTGGATCGAAATTAGAGTGGGTTACAATCAATTCAAGGCCTTCTAGATATGCAAGAAGTTATGGATATAAATACAAACAAGTACTGTTAAAAGGAGGGGCAACACCCTGTATACTTACAACCGAGAGAGAGAGAGAGAGAGAGAGAGAGAGAGAGAGAGAGAGATGGGGAGGAGGCGTTCTCGTTGTTCAGAAGAAGCTTTGAATGCTAAAAGGGCATGGACAACCATGGAGGACAAAATTCTAACTGAATACATTAAAATCCACGGTGAAGGACAATGGAACTACCTTCCTCTAAAAGCAGGTGAGTGTCTGTATTAGTAACATGTTCATATTGATATATATGAGCAAGGAATTGCTTTTTTTTTTTTTAAAGCTAAAAACAAGTAAGGAAGGATACAAGCTCAAGTCAACATTTCCAATATTATAACAATAAAAAGTAACTGGATTGCAGAAGAGTTAAGAGAGGTACTAAATATAAGCTTAATTTGATTGGCTTTCAGGACTTAAAAGAAATGGGAAGAGTTGCAGACTGCGATGGTTAAATTATCTAAAACCGGGTATTAAGAGAGGAAACATCAGTCAAGAAGAAGAGGACCTCATTATTAGGCTTCACCAACAACTGGGCAACAGGTGTTTGTCCTTTGTTTCACTTAATAACGCTTACACGTTCTAGTCACCAATTATTAGATTAGCTGCTACAACACAATATTTATACATAAATATACGTGTGTGTGTGTGTGTGTGTGTGTGTGTGTGTTGGAGAGAGTCGGAGAATTGGAAATAGTACTGAAGCTAGCAACAATGGTCGTACCATACAACAAAATGCATATATAGGAAACAGAAATTTTATATATATGTCGTATAATTTTTTATGGTAATAATAATGTTATAATATATATGCGGTTGAGTTGCAGATGGTCTGTAATAGCAGGACTGCTTCCAGGGCGAACGGACAATGAAGTCAAGAACTACTGGTACACAAAAATTAGCAAAAAGATCAAACATGACCACGGTCATGATCATGGCGATTCTACCGCTTCTAGTGATCCTAAGCCATCAAATGATGGCGACTATGAATCCTTACAAGGGCAGAACCTCACAAAGAAACAGCAAGGCCTTTCTGAAGTGCCACAACCAAGTCAAAACGAGTATGATGAAACGACAAGCATCCCGTGGCCTGCACAACCCTGGGACATTGGGGTCCACGAGCATTTTGAGACTATATTTTCCCCGGTTAGGATCTTGGAGGGAAATTACCAACTTATGTATGATGATGCTTGGATGGACTTTGACTTTGAGATATGGAACAACCTTTCTTGACCAAACAGTATTGATTTTCCTCTATCCCATGGTAAAGTATAGTGGTTCAAAAAAAAAAAAAAAAAGCTAGTTGGTTCTTGATAGGGTACGAAAGGATATAAATAAAGAGTGTTAGGGTTAGCTTGAGACCAAATAAGAACATTGTTAGATTTGGACGGAAAATATGTGGTTTTTTATTTTTATTTTTTGAGACATGCCAATGAAAAATACCCGTCACCCTACCATGATGTATGACGCTTTTCGACCAAATTCAGTTGTTTAGGCCTTCAAAAGGGCCTTTATTATTATTATTTTTAGAAGTTTCCCGTTTTTGTTATAAGTTCCCTTAAGAATTCTAGATAATTATCATTCTCGTTTCCTTTTCAAAATTTTGTATTTTTATTATTTTAATTAGGTAAAGGTCATGATTTTGGCCTGGTTTCTCGTTTGTGTTTTGTGCTACGAATAGATGCATCCTTTTAATGAAAATTGGACATTGCTAAATGAAACTGAGTTATTACTCGCAATTTGCTCTCTCTAATCTTTGATAGTCGGTACTCTGTGTGAATCAACGAATTTTGAAGCTATATATTCTCCTTAATAGATTTATACTTTTCATTTTATTGTTTTAATTTATCTAACTTAATCTTTCACTGCATCAATTCTGAAAAGGATTCTGCTCTTTTTTTTTTTTATATTTAAGTAGTCTTTAAGGACTTTCCAATTTAAGTTTCATGTACAATAAAGTTGCCTTCAATATCTATGCCCAAAAAGAAAAAAAAAAAAAAATCTCTCAAGCTCAAAACGAGAAACTAACGTTAATAACAACATATATGATCTCCATATTCAGCAAAAACAAAATAAATAAATAAAAACACGTAATTTCATGAAGTTCCTGCTCTTTCCTGAAACCATCTCTAAAGATGTCTTTGACCATTAGTTCATTCATCAACAGCTTCAACCTGGTTCAGTTTCTGGGTCATAAATCTTTGGTTTTGACTTATTGATGTCATTGTGTCTCTCAGCCTCACATTTTCTCTCATTATTTCCTCCAATTTCCTCTCAATCACCCTCTGATTCTCCCTTATTAGAAATCGGTCGGCTTCATCAGATTGTTGTTGCTTTTGTATCAGAGCCTGGATTAGATCCAGAACCATTTGGAATGTTTTTTTTTTTCTTCTTCTTCTTTTTTAACCGTCGTTATTGTCCTCTCCAAGCTTTTTATCCCAAAAATTTCACAAAGACAGTGCTAGTTGCTGGGTAGAAAATGTGCTTCGGGTACCAATCAATGTACACTTCGCTCGATTCTTGATCTCTGATCTCCTAGCTAGAAACTCCTCGGTAAGAAGAATGGGGTTCCTGCAAGGAAAGCTCTCCGATGCTCAATAAGCAATCAAGAAAAACATAACTTTTCACTCGCCCTCAATAAGAAATCCCCGACATTATGCCATAATTATATCTTGGCTGTTGATCCTTAACTTGTATCCTTAGATTAAAATGGGTCACGTGCCAATTCTTTAAAAAAAAAAAATTAGAATTGACCTTAAAATTCGATGTGAATCAATATTTTTTTTCTCTTTATTCAACATTGTCCTTTTATCTATTTTAATAAAGACGAGATTATGATTAAAGAGATCAATAATAAAAATATCACTATTATAAAAAGGGTAGTTTTGAACTTCTAGCATTCTTTAAACCGGTCTTTCTTTCGTCTAGCGAACCACTCTAAGAGCATGTTTATTTGACTGTATTAGAGTGTTGTATTGTATAATAATATAATAATATAATGTTTAGTGTGACCATCGTATTATATAAATTAATACGAATGGTAAATCAATATAGTATATGTCGTATTATTGAATACGGCTCATTTTTTACGTATTGTATTATTTTATAGTAGATCAACAATTTATGTCAGGATTGAACATGACTAGAGGTTGAAGTTGGATCGATATAGGGTCATGCCGGAGCTAATAATTGTTGAAAAATTTAGGGGGCACAATGCAAATTTTATATTTATTAAAAATTATATTTTCACCCCAAAAATTTTACAAAATTACATTTTGACCCTAGAATGTTTATAAAAATTTCATTTTTGACCCCAAACTTTTAAAAAATTATATTTTTACCCACAATTTTTATAAAATTACATTTTTGACCCCAAAATTATTAAAATTTTACATTTTGACCTTTATACAATACGTCACGACACCAAACACCATATTGTGTTATGATAATACAACACAATGCAATACACTTTATACAATACAATATAATACAATCTACCAAACATGACTCAAGTTTATTAGCTTGGTAGTCTGTTTACTCTATGTTTCACAAAGCATTCTAAGGGTGCATTTGGAATTGGTTTCAAAACGTTTTTGTTTTTTTATATGAAAATGAAAACAAAACGTTTTTATTTTCATTTTAGAATCATTTCTGAAAATGCGCTTGGTAGTTTTATTCTGAGATTGTTTTCAGTTTAAAAAAAAAAAACTGAAATTATGTTTGGTGGTTTAATTTTTAAAAACGTTTTCATTACTTTAAATCAGAAAAATTACCATCCTAAAATATGAATAGAATTGCAAATTTTGAGGTTTTCTATATATGTACGAGAAAATTTACCATCCTAAAGCATTAACATATGCAAATTTTGAGGCTTTTTTTTAAATACTGGATTGGTTTCTGGGTTAGTTTTGGAGACCGTTGAATTCGGAAGATGTCCACAATTTTGGTTTGTGCTAGAGGGAAAGCTACATATTTGGAAATAAACCCAGAAAGTTGCTGATTAACTGTGACATTGAATAAAATAAAATAAAATGGAAATTATATATATATACAAATACAGTATATACATACACATACATACACATCAATCGAAAAAAAAATAGAGCAACAAAAAAGCAAAAAAGAAAAAACCAAAGAGAATTAAAAACAGGCAAGAGATCGGCCACTTTCAATTTCCAATCTCCACATTTCACGAACAGAAATCGAGCTTCAAACTTCAAACTCACCACAGTCTCTCCGATGCTTCAAAATCTCAAACAACTCCGATCAACAACCATGAAATCAAAAGCAAAACAGAGAATAAAAAAAACATTGCCGTTTGGCAAGCCGGAAAAGGAGCGAGAAAATCACGGCACTGGAGAATTGAGCTGAATTTGGAGGTGGTGAAGGAAGAAGCTTCACTGTCGAAGACACTTTCTCAATCGCCGTAAGAGTCTGGGGGGAAATAATAATTGAAAGAGTTGGAGAAGAGAGAGAGGGAGGAGAGAGAAAGCGAGAGTGAGAGAAAGAGGACAAGTCAATGGAGGAGAGAGAAAGCGAGAGTGAGAGAAAGTGGACAAGTCAGAGGAGGAGAGAGGAGATTTCCAGATCTTCCGGTGAACAACCACCATTTGCAGAGTTGAGTCGGTGAAGACGCCGATGAAGACGAAGAGGCCGAGATTGGTGTGGTACGGGAAAAAAGTGAGGAGAAAATGAAAATGGGAAAACAAAAACGAGTAAAATTCGTTTTCAGAAACTGTGCAATTTTATGAGAAAGACCAAAAACGTTTTCAGTTTTGTTTTTGATTAAATGGGGCTCCAAACACAATCTTCAAGCCATTTTCAGTTTTTACACCTCGACAAATGTGAAAAATGGAAATGAAAACAGAAACAAACAGGGCCTAAGTTTCTAACCTATCACAATTTTTGTGACCTTAAGCATTCTGAGGGCCTGTTTGTTACCGTTTCTATTTTCATTTTTCACGTTTTTCGAAGCAAAAAATTGAAAACGGGAGTAAAAAACGCGTTTGGCGAAGTTTGTGTTAGAAAACAAAAACAAAAATGTTTTTGTCGTTTTGTGGAATTCTGAAAACGAAAAAAATCCATTTTCATTTTCTGGTTTTCATATTTGTTTTCCTTCTTTCTTCAGCCTCCTGTCCTCCCGTTCTCTCTTCTTCTGATTTTTTCTTCCTTCTTCAGCCGAGCTCTTCTTCCCGGCCGAGCCCCGGCGTTCTTCTCGCCCGTTTCGCCTGACTTTCGCCGTTTGCTTCTCACCCGAGCTCCTCTGTTCGCCTGAGCTCCTCCGGTCTCTTGTTGCCCAATCTGCCCCATTCTCATCTCGCTGTTTTCTCACCAAGGTATGCCTCTAGCCAAAAATGTTTGATGGTGTTTGATTTTCCAATCGATTTGGTTGAGCAATTTCTGATTTTTTTTTCACTTTGGCCCTGTTCTCGTCTCACCGTTTGATTTGCTATATTCAACCAAATCAGTTGCTAGTTTTCTGTTTGATTTCGTGTTGTTTTGTTTCTAATTTTGCTATGCTTGATCTGATTTGGTCTTTTTTCTGTTTTTCCCCCCTGGAGGCCCCCGTTGGGGCTGATACAGCCCCTGGGTGCCTCCCATTGGGGCCGTATCAGCCCCTGGGAGGCCCCCCCGTTGGGGTTGAAGCAGCCCCTAGGGGCCTCCCATTGGGGCTGGCCTGGGAGGCCCCCAATGGAGGCTGAAAATCAGCCCTAATGGGGGCTGATAATCAGCCACAGGGCTGATTATCAACCCCCATCAGCCCTAATGGGGGCTGATTATTAGCCCTGATAGGGGCTGATAATCAAGCCCCCATCAGTCCCGATGTATCAGCCCCCATCAACCCCAATGGGGGCTGATAAATCAGCCCCAGTGGGTGCTGAAAATCACATTTATTTTAATTGGTAAAAGTGTTATTTTAGATGTGTGATAAGGACGATAATACGAAATGGCCGGCCGCAATTGAGGATTTTTATTTAGAATTGATATACGAAGAGTCAAAGACTGGAATGCAAACATCCACTCTGGACAAAAAAATGTGGATGAAAATTGCTAATGAAATAACACTTAAGTTTGGTAAGCATTTCACATCAGACTAGCTTAAAGCAAAGTGGAATAGGCTTAGACGTAGCACGAGGGAGTTTAAGGCATTAATTGAAACAATAGGGTTTGGTTGGGATTCTGAGGCTAACACTGTCACAGTTGAAAAAAAAGTATGGGATTCATAGGTGGCTGTAAGTTTTGAGCATTAACATCTTATGTTATATGAAAGAGTTGAATTGGTGTTTGGATTGCACATGAGTATTTACTCTTGTTTTCTTTATAATGTCAGAAACATCATGAGGCTAAGAAATTCAAGAAAGGGGGTTTGCAGAACTTTGCCTAACTTTCACAGATTTTTTTTGGGACTATTGCTACTGGACAAGGGTCAATGAATGCACATACTGCCGTTAATGTTTTGAATGTGGCGAAAAGGGCTGCCACACAACCGGAAGAGGTGGAGGAGGGTACAGAAGACTCGGATGAAGTCCGGGGTGTAGAAGACAATAGAAACAGATGGTCTCAGCGTCCTACTACTCAATCCAAGAAGAAGGGCAAGAACAACAGTGCAGTTGACGCGGCTATAGAGGCTTTGGCAAAAAGTATTACCCTACGTAATGAGACATCTGTTCAAAAGGTTGATTTGTTTCAGTAATATTTAGCTGATAGGCAAGCCCGTACTATGGCATTAGCCGAGGCTCAGAAAGATGATCCAACTACAAGTATTGAAACCTGTATGGATTTGCTGAATGAGTATGGGGAGTATTTAGACGACAATGTGTATACTAAGGCAGCGCACCAGTTGGCAGTTGACATTTTCCTTAGGACGATGTTTGTGAAAATGCCCGCTTGTCGTCATCTTTCATGGATTCGAAGCCTGTTGTTTAAATGATTATTGTGTTGTTTTCTTTATTTGTTTCCTCTCGGACGTATGTTCTTTTTTAAGTATTGTTGAGCATGTACAACAGATTTTCCTCTTGGACTTGTGTTTGTTAGACTTTGCTATTTGTTTTTAGTCGGATTGAATTACATTGGAGTTCTTCGTTTGATTAGTTAATGTTATATGGATGTTTGATTAGTTCCAGTCTTGGTTCATTTTTTAGGTTAATATGGATTCAGATAGTGAGAATGATGCTAGAGCTGTTGACTTTCTCCAGTCATCAGATGACGATGAACAACCACAACATTATATGCAATTATTGATGTCGATTGGAAACAGACGAACTAGGCAACCTCGTCGTAATTCTGCGTTAACATGACGAGAATATGTTTTAGAACAATTACATGGACATCCCAAAAATTTGTTTGAAATGTGTCGTATGCATCGAGACACGTTCGAAGCAATTGTTCAGTTAATTCGAGGCCGCAATCTACTGCCTTCTTCAAGTATTTCAGCAGAAGAATCTCTAATGATGTTCTTAAGAACGGTTGCTCACTCAGATCGCAATAGAGAGATACAAGATAGATTTTGTCATTCTGGAGAGACCGTATACCGGCATTTTGATAATATGCTTACCGCATTGTCTGCGTTAGCACCTCAAGTTATAAAACTACCAAATATGAACATTGTTCCCCCAGAGATTCAACACAACCCTAAGTACTGGCCATGGTTTAAGTTACAATATGACTATGCTCATATACTACTAATATGACAAATAATTTTAAATTAATCGTGACTCACACCTTATGTATTAAAATAGGACTGTATTAGTGCAATAGACGGTACACACATGATGGTTGTCCCACCTGCACATCAACAGACAGTCTACAGAGGAAGAAGACATTCATGCACTCAAAATGTAATGGTGGCGTGTAGTTTTGATATGTTATTCACTTATGTCAATACCAGATGGGAATGATCAGCTGTTGATTCCAGAGTGTTAACTGAGACTATGAGAGATCCAAATGACCCATTCTTGGCGCCACCCCCCCTAAGGCACCATTTCATGGTCAGAGGTACCATATTCAACAGTTTAGAAATGGTGGTCAACCAACGGGACCACAAGAGTTATTCAATTATTATCACTCTTCACTACGTAATTGCATAGAGAGGTGCTTTGGGGTCTTGAAAGTAAGGTTTCAAATTCTTAGGCATATGACCAATTATTGGATGCCAAGACAAAATGTTATACCAATAGCTTGTTGTGTGATCCACAATTTAATTAAGATGCACGCGCGAGATGATCCTCTATTTAGACAATATGAGGTCGATTTGCCCGTAGAAGATATTGAGGGAGAACAAGAAGGGCAACAGGAACAACAACATGGTATGGATGCACAAGAAGCAGAAACATCTGAAATGGATGTGCGGCAACAACGTCAATACATGGTTAATTTTAGGAATCATCTAGCTAATCAAATGTGGGATTCGTATAGGCGACAATAATTTAAGCTAATATTGTAATTTTCATATTTTATTAATTATTAGTGTTTTTATTTGTGATTCAATTATTATTTATTTAATATATTAAATACTATTACATGTTTTCAAAAATGAAACCACTAAACGCAGTTTCAGTTTTTTTTACAACTGAAATCAATCTCTAAATAAAACTACTAAACACATTTTCAGAAATAATTCAAAAATGAAAATGAAAACGTTTTCATTTCCATTTTCGTACAGAAAATAAAAACGTTTTGGAATCAATTCTAAACGCACCCTAAGTTTCTTTTAAGTTTATTAGACTCCAACATGACTCTAAGCCCGCCCGATCCTGACCCCAATTGTGTCCAACTCTAACATAAATTATGGATCATTTATAAAATATACAATACAATACTAAAAATGAGTCGTATTCAATAATACGATATAAACCGTATTAATTTACCATTCGTATTAGTTTATACAATACGATGATCACACTAAACATTATATTAATATATTATTATATAATGCGGTGTTCTAATACGGTCAAATAAACATGTCTCAAATTAAATCCTTCTTCAATGGAACGTTGTGATCATTTCCTCACCATTCTAAAGTTTAATATGATTTATCTATATGTGATCAGAAGAAAAATAAAAACACATAAACAGCTTTAAATTTACGTAAATTTTGATTTCTTAATTGCTAAGACAGGAGTCAAATTAAATACATAAAAATTGTAACTTATCCAACCCAAAAAAAAAAGGTGAACAGTTCAAAGAAAGTGGCTAGATGCCATGGACCATGAAAATTACCAAATATTATCCTATCTATATATATTTATATTGTCGGTTGTTTTATTATACGGCGTGATGTAAGCAACCCATATATTAAAAGACTCGTACAATTGACTTGAAACTATTATTCCTCAATTATGATGCAATACGCGCATTCATCTTTTGTTACTTTGTACTAAATTGATAGATGGGTCCTGGTTGGTGAGAGTTAATTAGGATTAATAGTGGTAAGTAAAACACAACATTTAACTCGTGCAGAATTTGACGCGATCATATATTTAAAGTTCTATATCCCATGGCAAATAGATTTTGTGTTTGTGTTAATTATAGTGGGCATTTGGCGTAGCTTCAACCTAAAACATCTTGGACTGTTCTTTCACGCATTCATTCGAGTGAAGAATAATTTGAGTTGAAATGTGAATGAGAAAATGAGACAAGTATTTTTTAAAGTGTATGGATCTTAAATTTTTATTTCTCAATCTTGATTAATATTAGTTAAAAAACTATATTAGTCAAAATAATACTAGTCAAGAATAGGGAGTAAACATCTTGAATACTGCATTTTAGAAGGATAAAGTCTATAATTTACACAATGGGGTGAATTTATGTGAGAGAAATATTGTGATGAAAAAATTAAATTTTAATTTTTGTGATAAAAAATATTATAGTAAAAAGTTTTGAGTTGTATTCGAATGATGAAAATAACGGGCCCTAGATTCACAGGTCTTTCTTCGCTCCTTCAGAGAAGACCAGTCACATTAAATCGGATGTATAAATGACATTTACCTTATTTAATGAGGGCATAAAATTTAAATATATAGTTACGCGACAAATAAATTTCTTAAAGTCAAGTCTTTGTTAATTTGTTGCAAATTAATGAATGGGGAGCGTGCATTAATTTGTTGCAGGTACTTTGTTAGGGTACCACTTTCTTAGTCTCATTTAAATTGGAGAAAGAAAAAAAATATATCACCAATCCTTGGCCACGTCTTGAAAATATTAATAGTCATTATCAGGACTTCTTTATTGTTTGTAAACGTCAGTTGATGATGTGTATCCGGTACGTCATAAATATAGTAAATGACGTCATCTAGTTATAATATGCAACATATATGTATTCACGTGTTTAATATATTTTTGTTTGTCGGCATTGTACATGAGATATGTTCTAGACTAATGTAAAACGGGGGATTTATACAGAGAAGTCTAATCTTGAAACTTTGATGATTTCATTTTTTTTTTTTTTAAATGTCCAGATTATGCTAAAAATTAAAGATGAAATATGTTAAATACAGAGAGTGGGTTACAACAACTCAAGACCTTCTAGATATATCTACGAAATAATGATATAAATACAGGCAAGTGCTAAGGGCAATAACTATTTATCTCCGACAAGTGAGAGAAGTGAGAGATCTAGAGAGAGAGAGAGCGAGAGAGAGAGAGAGATCTAGAGAGCGAGGGTGATGGGAGAGAGACGTCCTCGGATCAGTGGTGGCTCCGATGAAGGTTCGAGTAGGCGGTGGACAGCCATGGAAGACAAAACTCTAACTGAATACATTAGAATCAACGGTGAAAGACAATGGAACTGCCTTCCTCAAAATGCGGGTAAGATCGCCTAAGACCTCTTAATCTAAGTGGCATCGGGGGTTTGGGTTGGGTGGGATTTAGGTGAAGGGCCGCGGGTTTAATTCCATATTGTAAAAAAATAAATAAATAAATAACAAAACGTTTTGTTTTTTTTTTTGTTTTTTTTTATATAATTTAAGGGTACTATACCGACAACAGACATGTGTCATATGTACGTCGCGTAAAAAGATGTACTTAAAGGAAGAATACAAGCTTAGTTAGGTCAACATTTCCCACATTAGGCTTTTGTAACTAGTAATGATGAGGAAATGTAATTTAATTGTGATAATTTTCGTGCAATAAAGTTGGATTACTTACTAATAAATAAGCTTTTGATGTACTCTCAGGACTCAAGAAATCTGGGAGGAGTTGCAGGCTGCGATGGTTGAATTATCTCAAACCGGGTATTAAGAGAGGAAACATCAGTCAAAAAGAAGAGGACACCATAATTAGGCTTCACAAAAACCTGGGCAACAGGTCCTTGTCTCTTGTTTTCACACCAACGTTTGGATTAGTTGGCTAGTGGCTCCATTATATGTATATATGTACAAAGTAATTTTGTATATATGTGTAAATGTATGTATTCGAGATTGAGTCAGAGAACTAAAAATAATGAAACGTAGAAAAATTGATCCCAATCCCACCATATGACAAAAAGCAGAGTTATAAACTGAACTTTTATGTGTCTATATTATGTACTTTGGCGGTAATAGTTATGTTTATATGCGGTTGAGTTGCAGATGGTCTGTAATAGCAGGATTGCTTCCAGGGCGTACAGACAATGAAATCAAGAACTATTGGAACACAAAAATCAGCAAAAAGATCAAAGAAGATGATTGCAAGGCCGACTCTACCACTTCCAGTGATCCTAAGCCATCAATTGGTCATGAATCCTTAGAAGTGCCAAACCTCACAACGAAACAGCAATTAGGCCTCTGTGAGGTGCCACAAACAAGCCTAAACGAGAGCGATGAAACAAGTATTCCGTCACCTGAAGAAGCGCGGATGGAACTTGAGGACGACCCGGTGGCTGCACAACCCCGGGACATCTATGGGGTCGTCCATGAGCATTTTGAGACTATATTATCGCCGGTTAGGATCTGCGAGGACAAGTGGCAACTCATGCATGATGATGTTTGGATGGATTTTGAGATATGGAACACCTTTCCTGATCAACAATATTGATTTTACTCTAGCCCTATAAATATTGTGGTTCAGATATTGCTGGTTGGTTCTTGTTTTCTGGGCTTGATCTCCTCTAATTGTTATGAATGCGTTGCTTGTAAATAAAAAGAGTTATCTGCATGATGCTTTTTTTTTTTTTTTTATCAATTAAGTCGCCATACCCAAAAGATTTTTTTTTATCAATTAAGTCGCCATACCCAAAAGATTTTTTTTTATCAATTAAGTCGCCACACCCAAAAGAAAATGTATCAAGCTAAAACGACGAACATGTTTTTTGCATCATCGAACGACATATCAGCAAACGTAACTTTATACACGCTTTTATGAGCATATAATTTAAGCGAGAGCAAATTACGAGCCATAAATCCGTCAAAAAATTATAAGCTGCAAACTAGTCAGAAAACGACATATAATTACCACCGATTTCTATCATGCATTCCAGACCCAGTTTCCTTTTTTTTGCCGAGTATTAACATGAGATTACGCTGCTTACGCTATGTATTTACAAATCAAAAGCCTTAGGGTTCAAACAATTGAATCCATGTTAATTTGTTCAGAGCTTAAAAGCTTCATCGAACATTCAAAACCCTTAAGAATCATATATTCGCACTGAAGTACGGATTTCCTGCCGACAAACTGGGCACTTTGGTGTCACTTCACGTTCAACTGATATGGCACAGATATGGCAACATACTAGATGCCCGCATGGAATAAACGCAGATCGCCTTCTCCTTGTCAGGCAGATGACACACAACTGTCCATCAGGAACATCTGTCGTGTCCTCCTCCGACACAATTTGAGATTCTGAGTCATCGATAGCTGGAGGGTTTGCTCGCTGTTGTTGCCTATTGTGCCTCCATTCTTTCCATCTATTCCAGTTCCTGAAAAAAAAAAAATTGTAGGATTTACATGTTGTAGCTAAATTCTGAGAAGTGCCAACAACGTCCATGTTAACCTTCTAGTTTCCTGTCGTGTATTAGTACATACCATGCTAGCAAGTATCATCAAAATTTTCAAAATCATATCCCATTATATTTTGAAGAAAAGCAAAATGTAAATTTAACACCAATAGCAAGCAGAAAATGGGAATGAGTTGAGATCACAAGGGAAAAGTATACCTCACAAGAGCGTAGCCAAGGATTCCAATTGATAGCGAACCAAGAACGATACCGCTCACCAACAGAACTTTAGTACTAAAGGCAAGATCCACAACCATCTGATCCTTAGTCATTTCGGTACTGCAAAGGGCACAACACCAGTAATTCCACTAAAAACAGAGCACCTCGAGTGCACTATAACTGGAAATTGAGGAACAAATCGATCGATGTGAAATTTTATTATTTTTACAGCCAGACATAGCAATTCATCAGAATTAGAAAAGGCAACTGAATATTGGAACAGAAAAGTCATTTGACTATTCATATACTTATACAACTAAATATGTGTAACTTACAGAAAATAAGGAATATCCTTGCATGACTTGATCTCTGCAATTCCATTTTTAAAACTGCAAATTCCAACAGCAGTGATATCCTTTCCCAAAGGGAGAATTTTTTCTTCGTCAAGTAAACCGACCTTCAAAAAACAGAATAATAGATGATAACATCAAGACCATTTTGCAGAGCAAGTAAGAATATCGAAAATCCTAAACAGGCGTCATTCCAAGGAGAAACCTAAAGATGTTAGCAACAACAAACTTACTCCAAATTCCGAAACATACGTCTTTCCAAGGAAGGAAAGGAGAGAGCTAAAGATGTTATCAACAACAAACTTACAGGGTATTCATGACCAAAAAGTGCCTGTAGGAATGTATAAGGAGATGGATTAACAGGCTGCAACTGATGATAAACTGTTGTAAGAGGCAAGGGATGCCTTGAGCCATCCATGTTGACGACAACAAAATCCATTTGCGGCCATTTTCCAGCTTCAACAAGAATGAAAGAAACCTGCATACATGTACGACAATCAAAAGAGATAACTCCTAACTTTCATAACCAAACTCACAACACTTCTCTATCCATGAAGGAACTTTTTTTGACAAAGATCCATGAAAGCACTTGATATAAACAACGTCTGCTTCTATAGAACTCCTCTGCACTAGCATACCCATAAATTAGCAAAGGTGAGAAACAAAACACACCGTTCTTAACGAAGTGGATTCTTGTTCTCTCCAGGACCTCGCAAATATGGTCCGCAGATCAGAAGTCCATCCGAAGAAACCCTTCCATTCATTGTATATACACTACATACCATAGATGAACATAAATTTAGTCTGAAATTCATCACAGCTCAAACAGTAAGCATATAAGACCAAAATATTTACTTGAATTTATTTGTTCAATATACACTACTTACCATAGATGAACATCAATTTAATCTAAAATCCTTCATAGATCATATAAGATTTACTTTTATTTAAGATAAAAACAATTAAATATATTTCTCAGTTAAATATATACTATATACTATAGTTGAACATAAATTTATTCTGAAATCCTTCACAGATCATATAATAAGCATTATGAAGACACTCACTCGAATTTCTTACTTGCTATACACTACATGCCATAGATGAACATAAATTTAGTCCGAAATTCTTCAAAGATCAAACAATAAGCATGTAAGATCAAAATATTTACTTGAATGTTAGTTAAATATACACTACGCACAGCAAATGAACATAATTTAGTCAGAAATTCGTCACAGCTCAAAATATAATCAAAGAAAATCAAAACACTTTCTTGAATTTCCATTTCGAAGTCAAGCTGAAGAAAAGAAACCACTTTTTTCATCTAATTAGGGCTAGATATTCAAGTTATCATAATTCTATCTAATTCAGAGCAAGAAAAGGCCTTCTTGTTTCAACTTTTCGCAATGTTTATCGGCAACGAAGAAGAAACCACATACAGTTTGAGTTCTCTGAATGACGACGGCTTTATCGCCAGATTCCTGCGAGACCAAGACGTTGGGCCTAAGGCTCTTCCAGCTTCCGTCGATCGCCGATTTGGCCTCCACGGTGCCGCGAACTATCACGAGCTTGCCATCGGACGGCCGAGATTCGTTCGAACCTTCGGAGGAAGCGTCGGCGGCGAGGATTGATCGGAGATCGGAGACTTGCACGGAAGGCGCTTTGCGGAGCTTGCAGAGGGCGGAGGAGGTGGAGGTGTACTTGAGGACGGAGCGGACTGCGGCGTAGGCTAGGGCTACGCCCAAAACGGCGCCGTCGAAGGAGAGGGCGAGCTGCGAGAGGAGCGACACCACGGCTTGCTCGTTCGACGACATTGGGGCGGTTGCCGTTTCGGATTCACATAGGGCGTGGAACCTGTCGTTCGAATGAGGCGGTGGTTTTCGCGGCTGTGGAAGATGGACGAAGACAGAGACGAAGGGAAGAGGAAGTGAAACTTGAAAGGGGGTTTTGGTCAATTCACCTGTAATCTCGTTAATCGTTGTTCGCAATTTGGTGCCAAAATGTTATCTTCGCAGTTAACGCTCGCTAGTTGTTTGTCTTGTTACCGCCAAAAGAAAATTGTAAATATGAGAATAGAATAAAACAAACATAAAAATAAATCCTACCAAAAAAAAAAAAGATAAAATCCTTCAAAAAAGAAAAACAAAGATAAAATAATTGCATAAATCCATGCAAGAAAAAAAGGTTGATAAATGAAATATATATACATAATTGTATGAACATCTTAAAATTTGACGAAAATCTAAGAACTCATGAATCTACATCACCCTTGAAAATAGGAGGCGCTTGAAATTGGACATACTCTTCTAATTAGAAACTTTTCTTTTTAATAGATTCAAATATTCAATAGTTGACGTGTGACCCTATCGTGGTTGAGTTCAAATTTATTATCCTATTTTCCTGAACTATTGAATATTACGATCACGATTCTTTAATTACATTTGACTTATTATGGAAATGACATTACACAAGGAAAATTTTGAGGCGCGTTTGGAACTCGTTCTAAAATGATTTTATTTTTTGTATGAAAATGAAAATAAAAACGTTTTCAATCTCAGACATAAATTATTTTTGAAAATGCATTTGGTAGTTTTATTAAGAGAATATTTTCAGTGTAAAAAAACTCATTAATGTCTCTCTCTCTGCTTGAGAGAGGAGAAAACGAAAATAAAAAATAAAAAACGACTAAAAGTCATTTTTCATTTCTCTCTCATTTTACACTAAACCAAAACATCGTTTTCATTTCCTTTTTTTTTCTTTATTACGCCAAACGTCATTTTGAAAACGTTTTCATTTTTTCTTTCTCGAAAAATGTGAAAAACAAAACGGGATTAATTCTAAATACGGCCTTGGTTTTGCTTATTCTCCTCTGGCCTTTTAGGATTGTGGAAGTTAAAGATTTATCTATGGTTGATTGGTTTTGTTTCCTTGGGACAAAGATGGAGGTTCAAAAGCCCATCCTATTTGCAATTTTATCAAGAAAAGGAGGAATATGTTCAAGGTGTGGCCCCATTTCAGCAGTTTGGCCATATCGTTACATATATTAAATATTACTGCTCAATTTTTCTTGTTCCTTGCTCCTAGTTGGAATCTTACTTATAGATGTTCTGCCCCAACTCCATTGGAATTTAGAACCCCTCTTATTTCAGAATCCTCATGCGACTTTTCTCGGCCTTGGCCTTGTCAAGGCAACAATTTGCTTGACATTGTCACTTAAAAGTAACTTTTGTACTAATATTTTGTTTATGTTTAAGTTGTAAAGATTTATGTCTATAAACCTTTTCTTTTCTTCCCTCACAGTTTGGTCAAGCGAGCTCTAACAATGTTGTGCTTGATAATGTAAATTTAGAACCCCTATTATTTCAAAACCCTTATGCCACTTTCCTCACCCTTCGTCTTGTCAGGGCTAACAATTAGCTTGACATTATCACTTAAAGTGACTTTTGTACTAGTAATTTGTTTTGTTTATGTTTAAGTCGTAAATATTTCTGTCTACAAACTTTTTTCCCACCACAATTTGGTCAAGCAAGCTCTAACAATATTGTGCTTAATAATGTAAATTTATACATTTTCCCTGCCTCATTAAAGTTGGTTTCTTATGTCTGCCCCCACTTAAAAAGTTGTCCTTTTAATGCCTTTTTTCATTATTTAATCCGAAACCACCATGCAACTCTGCTTCCTACCCTTTTTTGTTTTCCTTTTATCTTTCTATTTTTTTTTCTCCACTATTATTATGTTTTTATGTTACAAAAAACTTGCTTCTGCCTCAAGGTTTATGTACTTCTACAACCAAGAATTGATACATCGAGATTGCAGTTTCATAGTTTTTGATTGAGTGTGAAAATTATTGGGGTACGTATGCAGTAAAAGAACACAACCTTTTCTTTCTTATAATGAACAAGTGATTTTGGGTTGGTAGATTTTCTTTGATGGATTTGTCCCCCCAATTATTGGTCTCTTACATCGTATGTCAAAACGTTTCTACAATGTTGTAAAAGAAAATTAGAGTCACCAATATATAACGCATGTGGGTTTTCCTTTTAGTGTCGTTTTTCATATAGTTTATCTTTTTGTTGCTGCTTTTGTGTTATTATTAGTTGTGTAATGTAATGTGCACGTATTGACCTGTTGTAAATATCCGAAAAGTTTATTGTTTACTAAATAATGAGAAATTTATTTATACAACCATTTAAGGACTTTTGAATTTATTTTAAAAAGTAATATGTATAAAAACCAAATTAACAAAAAAATTAAGTAGGGGCTCATTTCAAGAAAATTATTTTACTAATTAAAAATAAAATAGGAACACATAATACGAAAAATTATTCTTATAAGAATAAAGTTAGTGACAATATATTTTTAAAGAACACACAAAAATGAAAATGTAAAAAGAATTTTACAAAGAAAAATAAATAGAAAAAAAGAGGCAAGTGGAGGAGTTGTCACGTGGTAGCCCATAGAAAAGAACTTTGACTCTTTTATATATATACTACATTTATACAATTTAAGGACTTTTGAATTTATTTTAAAAAGGAATATTGTAAAAATCAATTGACAAAAAAAATTAAGTAGGGACACATTTTAAAACAATTATTTTACTAATTAAAAATAAAATAGGAACACATAATACGAAAAATCACTCTTATAAGAATAAAGTTAGTAATAATATATTTTTAAAGAACACACAAAAATTAAACTGTAAAAGGAATTTTATAAAGAAAAATAAATAGAAAAAATAAATAGAAAAAAAAGAGGCAGCTCCATAAAAAAAGCTTTTGACTGTCGCTTTCCTTCTTGTTTAAATGCGCCTGCCGTTATCTATTTCACGTCGTCTTCTTTTGTTCTCGTTCTCAAGATGTACCTGTCGTTTATTTTTCTATATTGTTTTCTCTGTTTTTTATTATTGATTTTTAAATGCGCCTGACGTTGTTTATCCTCTTTGTCGTACTGTCCTTATATTTTACTGTTGTTTCCAAAAACTGTCGTTTTCCTTTTGTCCCTTTCTTGTTGTCCTTAAATTTGCCTGCCGTTCCTTGTTGTTTATTAATAACGAGTGTATGCATGATACAGGAACAAAGCAACAAGAGCTCATAACCAAAGCCTACATGCACTAAAACGCTTTATTATTTTAATCCCAGTGACAAAGAAGATTAAACCCAAAAGTGATCAAACCCATTACAATCACTCCCCTTAAAATGTCTAACACAAAATCATGCAAGTACTAGGTAGCTAGGAACCATTTAAAACAAACGACTTTATCAATGCGTTCAAGGTATCTGGTGAATCGAGATTTGCAGCGTGTCCTGTGTCCTTTAGTATCTCCAACTTTGAATTGCCTCCCAAGTGTCTACAAAGCATAATGAACGGTGTTATATATAGACATAAGAGAAATGTTAGTATCACTCTTTCTGTCACTCTCTGTATTTATTTTGACATGTGGACTCCACTAACATGATATATTATTATTTCAACAAAAAATTAGATAGTAAAATGTCAAACAGTGAATACATACAGAGAGTTAAAAAGAGAGTGACAGAAAGAGTGATGTTAGCATTTCTCAATAGTGTTTACCAGAGTTTTGGAATTCAAAATCTAATGAATGAATTTTCTTTAAAAGGTTATTATAGTATTTCCCAGAATTTTGGAACTCAAATTCTAATGAATGAATTTTCTTTAGGAGGAAGAAGATTAATGGAAGGAGGAAATACCTGTGTAGCTGATAACCCAAGTAGAGTGGAAATACATTGTCCTTGTCACCCCAGATTAGCAGCGTTGGCTACACACGTGAACACACAAATATATATATACTTATGTATTTATGTACGTGTGTATAAATACGAAGCATAAATTCACAATTAAATGGTTATTTTCTATATGCATATGTTATTAAGAATGGTAATTATAACCAAGCCAACCTGAGGTATGATTGGAACGGTCGAATAATATGCTGATTTGTTCAACAAGTGTTCAATCAGCTCTAGTTTTTCCTTCCGGTATTGCATCATCGCCTAAAGTTAAAGCCAACAACACAAATGTAATTGATCATATATATCATCGAAGGCAGCTTCCATAAAAAAAATAATAAATTTATTTTCACCCATACCCTCTGAATTTTGGGATCATTATTGGAAACATACCAAAAAAAAAAAAAAAAGAGGTTGTACCACTATGTGTTCTTTCTGCTAGAACTTCTGTTAAAAACAAATGAAATAGACCAAGTAACCATGCTTAACCACCTATTTTTGATATGATTTGAAATACTAGCAAAGTAAGTTAAATAAGACTAATTTAAAATTTAAGAAGGGAATGCGAGTTTTAAATTTTAGGGGACAAACTAGGAATAACATCAAAATTTAGATGCAGCGATCAGATTAAGCCAAAATAATAGTAACAGATTAACTGCTCATTACCTGGACAAATTTGGTTAGAACAAAATCAGGGACCCACTTGAAAGGATCGCTCTTGTAGACCGATAGACTCACAAGGAGGCGAAGATCATTAGGAGTCTCAGGCAAAAGAATCTCCAAAGCATTCCTTCCATTCCTAATCAAAAGCTCTCTTTTCTGATCCTCTGTCCACACTATTCCACTGCTAACGATCACAACCTTTTCCACTTCCTGAGGACACATCGCAGCCATCTGATACGCCACAAATCCTCCATAGCTGATCCCGTACAAAGCGTACCGGTCTACTCCGATTCTCCGCAGCCCTTTGACGACGCATTTGGCTTGGAAAACCTCGGACCAGTCGGGCCATTTGGTGTAGGACTTGCCGAAGAACAGCAGGTCCGGTAGATGCAAGTTGAAGGCCTTTGAGAGGGGCCCCACTTGGCCTAGAAATTGCCAGATCGAATCCCCGCCGTAGCCGTGAACCATCACCAGATCAGGCTTATCAGGACGTCTCTGATCGGCGGTCCAGAAATGCATGGTGGTTCGGTCATCTAAATCAAAGGTGCGTGGAGATAGACCACAGAAACGGAAGTAGATTCCGAGGATGGTCCCGAGGAGTTTGACTAGGATTGGAAGCCCGTTGGGGGTGAATAAATCGGACAAGAATGTTTGAAGGATTGACGATATGGTCGAGGGGTAGAATAGAGGGAAACTCCGAAACATTAAGCGAGCCATGAAAAATATGGAGAACAAGTTTACTATCTGTTTACTCGTGGTAAGCATCTTTAAGCAAAACTTTAAAACGTTGCTATACATATATATATATATATATATATATATATCAGCAGCGATGTCGCTCAAACAATATCATGTCTTGTCATTTTTTCTTCACACGAGATAACTTATTCCAGAACCCCGCTTTAAAATCCTTGTTCGGTCAGTAAATTGTACCTTGTTAAGTGCTATGTGGTGATGGTAAGGAAAACGAGCCTGAAAATAGAAGATAGGAGACGAATGATACACCAATAATTTCTTTTTATTATTATTATTATTTTTTTTTTAAAATATATATGATCATATTGTAGAAAATAAAATAATTAGGTCTCACTTTATTATATCACCGTGTTACTACAAGTCGTACAATGTAAATGGCACTTTTAGAACGAGCTATGAAAAAGAAATTTCAATTTTCTATCTTAAAATCTATCTTGCTATTTATTTCTCGCTTGTTTTAGACGCAAAATTATGTATTAGAATTATGTGTCATAGTATTTTTTTTTTTTTTTTTGAAAGTGATGTTCATAATGATTGGGTTTCTATTATTTTTTGAATTGATTTCACGTGATACCTACAAAGGCAATACTGCACTGGGCTGATATGTTTTGCGTCAGAAATACACAGATAGCCCATAAATTAGTGATTTTATATTGAGGTATTGGATTTTTTTTTTTTTTTTTTTTTTTTTGCTCTTATAAAATATATTGGAGGTGGTGTATCATAGATTACCTACATTTCCTATTTCTCACGTAGTTGTGGAGTATAAAAGGATAACAGCATTATTCTTATTTCTCACTAATTGGCCAATTAGTCCTTTAAGAATAGTACTTATTGTTTAGTGGACAAGTAGTAGAACTGATATCAAATTCTCAACCAAACAAAATCCCAGAAATTAGAAAGTATCAATTTGTTCATCCAATATCATCATCTTACTTCACGCTGGTTTATTGATATTCTATTATAATATACGCCATATTGAATAAACAAATTTTTCTGGTCAAAAATAACAAGAAAAGACAGATAATGACGTTCTACCAAATTACATAACTTGTAGTAGTATCTGTTTCGACAATGCTTTTGATTCCAATGTATAATTGTAAATGGATGACAACAAATATAAATAGAACAACATACAAACCAAAAGAAACGAAAGACGCAAGATGGAAAATGCAAACCTGGCAAGGTACGTAATGCCTAAAATAAGTTGGCTTGTAGACGAGCAGTACTATAATAGTAAAGATACTAGTTCCAACTACCAAGTGTTAAGTGGAGTGGAAGTTAACGAAATAAGATTGTTACTTGTTACTCAAAAATTGGAGAACGATTTCCCTTCTTTTTTTTTATTTTTTTTTGCTTTTTTTTTTTTTTTTTTGGTTTGGCCATCAAAAAAGAAGAAGAAAAAGAATTAAGATTCGCCATCTTGAATTGTACCGTAACTCCATGACTTCTTAGGAAAAAAAAAAGAAAGTTTTAACCTTTAAGTAGTCCTTCACAAAACAGACGAAGAATGTCAACGACAACTAACTTTACAGACGACAAGAAAGGGTAATCAAAACTAGCATAGAACAACAATTAAAAAGTAGACAGCAACAAAAGAAAAGGTGACAACCATAAACAATCCCCTAAAAAAGAATACACTAAACGAGTAAACGGCCACAAAAAATAAAAAAATAAAAAACAAAGGCACAGAGTCACGGCAAACTGAAAAAGACATGAAAAATAACAAAGTATGAACGACAGGAAAGAACCGTAAGAATGAAACAATTCAGAAAAAAAAAAACAAACAGCAAATTATAAATCATAGTTTAATGTGATGAATGGCAAGGAACTAAAAACGACACCTCTAAAAACTAAAGGGGTTGTTCTTTTGCATTTTTGAGTTAGGGTGACTTGAGTGATGATCTTGAATTGAGTTTGAGTTATAACTTGAGTTGAAGTTGTAACTTGAGTTTGTGTTTGGATGTGCACATTTGAGTTATGATTTGAATTAAGAATCTTTTTGAGTTTGTGTTTGGGTGTGTCAAAATTTAAATATGTATTTAGATAGTATTTTAATAAAAACTCAATAGTGATGAAAAAATTTAATAGGGTATATGAGTGGAGTTTTATTCGTATTTTCATTGTGAATGCATAGAAAAAAAATATCATCTCAATCAGAATTAAAATGAAAAAGTTATGGTATTTTAATAATAGAAAAAAATATTGTTCATTAACTTGAGTTTGAGTTTATGAATTCGAGTTGAAAAGGATGCTTGAACTCGAGTTTAGCTCCAAACTCGAGTCCAAACTCGAGTTCAAACTCGAGTTTAAACTCGAGTTCAAAATCTGAGTTTATGAATTCGAGTTGAAAAGGATGCTTGAACTCGAGTTTAGCTCTAAACTCGAGTTCAAACTCGAGTTTAAACTCGAGTTCAAAATTAAATTTTACAAAAGAACATAAACTTAAATAAAATTATAACTCGAGTTTAAATTTTTTTTAAATTTCGTTCTCCATAGTGACATGGCCCCACGAGGAATATCTACCCCGAAATGGGTGAAAATTAGAAATAGCAATTGAAAATGAAGAAGGAGATAGGGTCAAAGAGTTGTAGCGGTTTCCGGTCCCAATTCTAATATTCATATAAAAATACGTAATTTATATATAAATATACATAATATTTACTTTTAAAACATAATTTCTTATTTTGTAGCTTTATTATTAAGATTAGGTGTGGGTATGTTTAGAATTTGGTTTGTTTTGTGTAACTATTGATTTGGATTTAAATTTTTACTCAATTTTTAGTTTAGTTTTATATAAAATTGTTATGATTTTGAAATATAATGTTATATTAAATGAGAAATAGAACGGATGTGGAGAAGGCTCTCGCAATAGAAAATCCTGGATCCCGGCTCCGTCTCTCTTTAAAGGAGGATGGGAATATTTTGACTTTGAGGGGTGGAGATGGGACATGAAATAATTCTCTGCCCCCGCCCCACATGTTGCCATCCCTAACAACAACAAAAAATTGAAAACGACAAATAACAAGAACAAATGAAATACTACACCAAATGTACCAAATGTGAAAACAACAACTAAACTTGAAAGCCATGGAAAGAACAAAAGAAAACGGCACTAAAAAGAAACGACAAACTAACGAGAATAAAGTGGAACGACAGTGAAATTAAAATGACAACAAATGTGAACCCCGATAAAAATAAATCAACGACAAGTGAAAAAAAATACCAAAATGACAAACGACCGTTATAAAGAAAAGGACACCAAATTATAAAGGACAAAAGATATGGAATAAAACGACACCAATGACAAAAGGCAACTAATGTGACGAATAACAAGAAAAGAAGAAACGACAATGAAAAGTAACATGGAAAAAAATGAGAAAACGACAACAAATGTGAAAAGACACAAAAAAACGACAACAAGAGAAAAAAAAACACCAAATTAAACAACAATCAAAGACGATCCAGAAAAGGACACCAAATTATAAATGGTAATAGGAAAACAGGTAGACTCCAATACTGTGGGAAACATCAATTTATCATACGACATTAAAATGAAACAAATGAGAAAACGACAACTGTGACAAACAACAAGACAAGATGAAACGACGCCTAGAATGTTGCGATAAGGAACTGAAACCAACACGTAATGTATAAACGATAATAGAAAAGTAAAAAAAACAACAAAAGTGCATAAGATGAAAGAAATGAAAACTGTACTAAATATAAACACGACACTAGAATGGAACGACGGCTAAAGTATACACGACGATATAAAACTTAAACGACAAACGACAGTAAATGAAACAATAACATAGGGAAAAAACGACACCAACTAAACGACAAATTAATTATTGGTTCCAAGCTAATTTGTATAGTGTCCAAATGCACGCCTTACTATAACAGTGATGCAGCTAGCATTTCCTAATTGTCAAGTGTGAACTCTCCCTAAAAGACATATAGAAATACCTTACTTCCAAAGTTTCATTCTTCCTTCGTACCATCTTTTGGAATCTTTTTATACGTACTCAAGTCCATAATAGATACTTTACCTTTCTTCTTTTTCACTTTTTGGACGGCTATCAATGACTTTCCTCATCCAATTACCAGCTTTACAGTTTGATTCCTTCACTATTTCCATCTCTTGCCCTCTTATAAATTTCCCTCACCGCAAGTTATAATTCTTCACCATCAACTTAATTAGTTCATCAATAAGAGGAAAAAAAAAAGAAAAAAAAAAAAAAGGAAAACAAACATTGAACTTTGGTGGCAAAAACAATGGCCAGCTACGCCTATAACACAAGCGAAAACTCGTCTCAGAGATCAGTGGCCATGGTACTAGCTCTAGTTTCAGCAGTGGTGCTTTCACCTTTTTACAATTACAATTTCGGCCGTAAAAACGACACAAAATGGTCCTATGAAACGAAATGGAGTTCTGGGTTTGTTCTTCCAATGGTTTTGGCCGGGCTTATAATCGCCATTAAGACGGTTTCCTCAACAAATGGAGGGTGTTCAGGCTCGTTCATTCCCTCTCCTGACCCTTCTTGGGTGCTTAGAATTGGGAGTTCTTCTTGGGGACTCGCTGGCGTTTTGCTCATGCTGATTCTTGTGCTTTCATGGCAAGATTCTGTGCAAGAATTCTTCTGGAGATAAGAGAGAAAAAAGCTCCTACTTTCAGTAGTTATTTTGTTTTGTTAGATATGAATTAGTGTATTTTATTAGATATGAATAAATAAAAAATGGCGATTAATGTACTAGCTTTAATTTCTGTGTATGTGAAATAAATATAAGTTGGTGCTAGTAATTTGAGGGCCCGTTTAGTTCGCTGATTCGAGTTTTTAATTCGAGTTGATATGTGATTTTATGTGAGAGCTTTTTACTGTAGCAAAAAAGTTAGATGTGATTGTTTGTGAGAGCTTTTTACTGTAGCAAAACTCGAATTCTAAACTCGAATCAGCGAAATGAACGGGGCCTGAGTTTTCCTAATTTGACAAATGCACAACTTTGATGAGACTGCATAACTGCATAAGCAAACTGTGGATATGTACGTTGGAATCTTAGATATCAAAAAGCTTTTAACTTTTCAACTCAGAAAATAAAAAATCAACGAAGAGAATTCCAACGCTGAAGAAATTTGAGACGACCAACAATTCACAAAAAGAAAACCAAGCTATAGAATCTGTTTTCTTTCTTTTGTTTTTTCTTTTTTTTCTTTTTTGTTTTTTTGAGTAATTGCGAATGTGATTGATTTTGTGTTCCATGATGAAAACTTCGAAAAGGTTTACAATTGTCCCTTTGGCACTAAAATCAATTTTACATAGTTGTAGAGAGTGGAAATAATGGGTTCGTCTCGGAACATAAATTTTTTTTTTTTCTGAGAAAAAAAAAAAGAAAGAAAAAAATTCAATTATTTTGGAGATGTTTAGTAAGGGAATTCATATTATGATTTGAATCATGGTTCATGATTCGCTACAGTATTTTTTCTCATAAAAAATATAGGTAAATTAAAAATAATTTTAATCTATGAACCAAACGTCTCTTTCGTGTGTCATGATAAAAACTTTGAAATGGTTTAAAATTGTATATTTGGCACTAAAATCAATTTTACGTTGTTGGAGAGAGTGGGAATAATGGGTTCGTCTTGGAACAGAAAATTTATTATTATTTTTTTCGCAGAGAAAAAAAAAAGGAAAGAAAAAAATTTGATTATTATGCGTTTCATGATAAAAACTTCGAAATGGTTTACAATTGTCCATTTGGCACTAAAATCAATTTTACGTTGTTGGAGAGAATGGGAATAATGGGTTCGTCTTGGAACAGAAAATTTATTATTATTTTTTTTCTCAGAGAAAAAAAAAGGAAAGAAAAAAATTTGGTTATTTTGTGTTTCATGATGAAAACTTCGAAATGGTTTATAATTGTCCATTTGGCACTAAAATCAATTTTACATTATTAGAGAGAGTGGGAATAATGGGTTCGTTGTTTATTATTATTATTTTTTTCTCTGAGAAAAAAATAAAATGGAAAAAATTTTGTTAGCCTTTATCCGGTAAAACCGGGTGTGTTAACAGGGAACCCGAAGGTTGTTCCCGTCCCTGTCAGGGGAGATGCCAACCGTCTCTCCTTTCTAAGAACACGTACAACCTATGCAAAATTGCAGTTATAAACTCCATCTATCTTTAATATTCTTCCGATATGGGACTTTTGCTCCCTTTCAAAATCCTGTTGGGCCCATAAAGAAGCCACTTAGGAGTCCTATTGGGCTACGTCCACCGAGGCCCAAGCCCACAACTTCCTTCCCGTCAAAAGACTCGAAACCAGCAAAGCCCCTCGCGCCCCTTTCTTCTTCCGATTCTCTGTCAAAGTAGCGCCGGGCTCCCGTCATTCTTCGGTTCACTCTTCCGGTGAGATATTCCCGTCCGTTTCAAAACTCTCGCTCAGGTTTTCATGTTTGAATTGTAATCTTCAAAATAAGCTCTTAAAAAGGAGTTAAATTTGTGATTTTTATCGTCTTTTATGGGTTTATAATTCCGAGAATTGTAGATCCTTCCTTTAATTATTGTTCGGTTTTAATTATTGTTCTACAGATTTTTTTTTTCTTTTTAATGTGCAAGCTAATTGAAATAGAATTAATTGATAATATCTAGTAATGAGTAGTTTTACTTGAATTTTTCTAGGTGGGTTTGGTTTTTCCTTTGAAAAGTCGTATTCTTTTTTTGAGTGTTTGTTTGGCAGTAAAGAAAATGGCAGAAGGAGATGAGGATCTGCCTAGAGACGCGAAGATTGTGAAGTCACTGTTGAAATCAATGGGTGTGGAGGACTATGAACCTCGTGTTATACACCAATTCTTGGAGGTCTGGTACCGCTACGTGGTTGATGTGCTAACAGATGCACAGGTTTACTCTGAGCACGCAAGTAAGCCTGCAATCGACTGTGACGATCTCAAGCTTGCTATTCAGTCCAAAGTCAATTTCAGCTTCTCACAACCCCCTCCAAGGGAGGTAATTTTGCTTCAAACTTAACTCTTGTAAAGTGGGGTTTTTCTTTTTTTGTTTTTTTAATTATGAATATGAAAGACTGAACTTTTGTATTGTGTTGAGCTTAATTGAAAGGAATATATGGGAGTTTCGAGATGTTGGAAATCATACTTTTAGAAACCCCTTGTTGAATCATGATTCATGCTTATAGCATGTCAAAGAAAATGTGTTTCTTTTCTTCTGCAAGGCAGGAGATAACTTTCTTTTGTTACTTTGAAATTTGCATCTGCTTATTCAAGTAAGCGTTATGTCTGGGCTATACTTAACCTCGCAATCAATTCCTTGTACTGTTTACGGATAAGAATCGAGTATTCTTTGAACATGTATTGTTCATATCCCTACGTTGAACTGATCAGTTTTAATGATTTTTCTTTGGATTTAGTTACAGAAACCATAGGAATTTTATGGTGTCTATCTTTCTCTCTCTCTCTGGTGTGAACTTTACTTAGAAAATTAATGTTCTTCTTATTCAATAATCCTCTCACCAGGTCCTACTGGAGCTTGCTAGAAACCGAAACAAAATTCCATTACCAAAGTCAATTTCAGGGCCTGGCATGCCACTTCCTTCCGAACAAGACACATTGATCAGTCCTAACTATCAACTGGCAATCCCAAGGAAACAATCTGCCCAAGCACTTGAAGAGACAGAGGAAGATGAAGAAGCCGCCGATCCGACTCCACCATCCCAAGAACAGAAGACGGATATGCCACAACAGACTCCGCAAAGAGTCTCCTTCCCCCTTGTTAAACGTACCAAGTGAAATTTTCATAGTAGTGGTTGGTTATACTACGGTTTTGAGCACTCTAATGTATAAAAGGAATTGGGCTTAATCTTACCATCCTTTGGAGATGTGAAGAATCATTTAATTGGAAGAAGTTGATAATGTACTGAATCGTTTAATCTATAAGAATATACTGTTTGAAATGCGATAATGTTTACTAGGTCATTGCTTTGACGTAATTTTAACATTATAAAGCAGTGTCACTTCCTATTAAATAAGAGAAAGTTGTTGACAGGACCTTAACGAAACAATCTTCTAGATTATTGACTAAAGAATCTTTTAAATTGGCAGCTAATTATTAGACGCACTGGGATTAACTTGGAAACCGAGTTTTTTTTTAATCCCAACTGGCTTTTTTTTTTTTTTTTTTTTTTTGCTTTATATATAATATACATCTGAATGGAAATCTTTAACCAGCGACGATAAAAATCCAAAATCATAACACGTAGGAATTTCAGGTTTCAGCGCTGGGCCATCTTGCCATCCAAGGGAAACGAATATCACGCATCGGACGATTGAGAGTTTGCATGGCGTAATAAACAAAAAATGGAATAGGTGTGAAATCCAAGGGATGCGGAACTCCAAGTGGGAGATAAAGAATAAGCATTGAAGCTTCTTGTTTAATCTAGTTAGTCATCAAATAACAGAACAACAAAGCTGTTTTCTACACATATATATAATCTATGTACAAGAATAACAAATCTTGACTAAATGATTATATATATATATATATATATGTATTGTTAAGCTATACCAAACAAGGGTCAACTTCTCCAGCCAACAACGCTACTCGCAGCTGGCCCTGTACTTGAAACCGTCAGGCCACGGTCATACATCCTCTGAATCTCTTCCCTGTACTCGGTCAGAGACTTGTCAGGTATAGTCGGAGTCAACTCTACCACATCCCCCATTTTCAGCTTGCACATTGGATCACTCACTGGCTCATGGTTCAGCCTTGGCCTCAGTTCTTCCTTCACCGGGAACCCATATGGTGTCCATCTAGAGGTTCCTCGCCCAGATGTTTCCAAAACATCCATGATTGTTGAGTTCGCTGGGAACTCCTGCACTGACATCTGCAGATTATTCAAAAGAGCTTAACTAATCAATACCGAGTTCTTTAATACAACCATATATAACAAGCCACCAAACAAAGGTTCAGACCAAGTTGAGCCAAACTATACTTCACAACGCAAGGGATACCTTATCGTTCCCGATCATGATGACGAACACCGGCCCATCAGACCCACATTGAGGTTTGTAAGAATATGGGCAATCGTCTGAATGGTAGGGGAATGTGCAGGGTGGCTTAATTGAATCAGAATAGTCAATGGATGACTGGTCTCTGTTCATTGTCTCGCACTGCCAGGTAACAACCCACCGGGCCCACTCAACCATCTGAAGCACAAAGGATGAGTGCTTACAGTCACCTTCTTTGTATCTCCAGTGCGCTGCAATTCCAAACTCGGCTTGCAAATGCATCTCCTTTGTTCGGATTTGGACTTCAAGTGGAACCGTGCCTTCACCCATCACTACAGCGTGCAGAGACTGATACCTAAACGCAAGGAAACAACAGTTGGAAAAAGGAACATGTAACCTAATGAAAAAACAAAGCAGTGATTCTGAGGTATGATACCCATTGAACTTGGGTTTGGTTATGTAGTCTTTGAACTTTCCCGGCACCTCAGACCATAGTCGATGAACAACTTCCAATGCCTTGTAACAATCTTCCTCTTTTTCAACAATCAAACGTAGCCCATGAATGTCGTGAATCTCATCCACATTTAGCTTCTTCCTGCACATAATAAGCACTATCAAGATCACAAACATGCATCTAATCTTAAGAAGTAAACAGCTGATATTCCATAACAAAAACTCAAGAAAAAGCATAACAAAACATAGTAAATCTAGCATTGATTCCAATCACAACGCTTATTTTCAAGGAATCTCAACATTTCGGAAGAGGGTGAAATAAGAAAAGCGTTGTTTGATCTGTATGGTTCTAGTGCTGCAGGGCCTAATGGTTAGTCTGGTAAATTTTTTCAGGATTGCTGGGAAATTGTTAAAAAATATGTGGTTAGTGTTGTTAGAGAGCTTTTCATTGAGGGGGATTTTCTAAGGAATTTTAATTCTATTGTTCTGATTTTGATTCCTAAGGTGGATGATGCTTTGACTGTGGACCAGTATAGGCCGATTGCTTTGGCTAATTTTTCATTCAAAGTGATGACAAAAATAATTGCTAGTAGGCTTGGAGGGATTATTGGTAGAGTTTTATCTCCTCAGCAATTTACTTTCTCGAAAGGTCAGAATATCTCAAACTGTATCGATCTAGTTTCTGAGTGTGCTAATCTTTTGGATAAAAGATGTTTTGGGAGCAATGTGGGATTGAAGTTGGATGTTCGTAAAGGTCAGAATATCTCAAACTGTATCGGTTTAGTTTCTGAGTGTGCTAATCTTTTGGATAAAAGATGTTTTGGGAGCAATGTGGGATTGAAGTTGGATGTTCGTAAAGCCTTTGATACTCATCAATGGGATTTTCTTACATCCACTCTTGTTAAAATGGGTTCTAATTGCGTGTTTGTGGGTTGGATTAAGAGCATTTTAGCTTCAGCTAAGCTGTCTATTCTGGTTAATAGTCGACTACGTGATTTCTTTTCTTGCTCTAGAGGCGTTCGGCAGGGGGATCCTTTGTCGCCTATTCTTTTTTGTCTAGCTAAGGATGCCCTCAGCCAAGTTCTTAACCGGTTGGTGGAGGAACGTCATATTATTACTGTTTCGGCTCCTCATGGTGTTTTTGCTCCATCTCATGTTTTTTTTTTTTTTTTGCTGATGATTTGATGATATTCTATAATGGGTCTATGCAGAATTTGTGTAGGATTTTAGATCTTCTTGATAAGTATAGTATGAGCTCAGGACAAGTTTTCAGTAAGGTGAAATCTGTAGTGTCTATTGGAAAATCTACTCTTCGTCATTCTGCTGCGAATTTGGCTTTGCTTGGCATGAGACGGGGTGATTTGCCTTTTAAATATCTTGGAGTCCCTATTTTTAAAGGTAAGCCAAATTGTGCTCATCTTTGTCCAGTAACAAATAAGGTGATTAGTAAGCTTACTTCTTGGAAGGGTGGTCTTCTTTCTATCATTGGTAGAGTGGAGTTGGTTAAGACAGTGGCTACTTCTCTTTTACATTCTTTTATGGTGTATTGTTGGCCAAAGTCTCTCCTGTTAATTGTTGCTAGAACTATGATGAATTTCATTTGGTCCGGTTCGGTGGAAAATTAAAAAATGATTCACGTCTCTTGGGATAAGGTTTGTAGACCTTGAGGGGGGTTTGGGTATAAGAAATCTTTTAGCTCGCTTACTTGCACAAGTTGGCTTGGAATCTCATTTCTGAGCATGATGGTATTTTTCCTTTCTTGAGGGGTTGTTTTTTAAAGGCCGATGGTGTTCCTAAATCTCGAATTGCTTCTTCTATTTGACCTAGCATCAAAAAGATAGTGTCGAAGCTTTCCTTAGAATCTAGGTGATTGGTTGGTAAAAACTCAAAGGTGAATCTTTGGAAAGATAATTGACTTGGGTCTCCTTTAGTAGACTTGTTGAATGTTCCTGAATACATTAGAGGTCATCTTTCAACTATCGTATCAGATTTTTGGGATGGTTCTTCTTTGGGTCATTCCTTCTTTTTTGGCTGATAGTTTTCCTCATATTGTTCAAGCTATTAGTTGCACTTCAGTTGCTTGTGAAGATCGTCTCATTTGGACTAAGTCGTTGGGGGGGTACTGCTCAGGCTTATGAGGAGGTTCGTGTGGCTTATGTTGAGCGGTCTTGGGGTAGAAAGATTTGGCATGGCTATATTCCCCTTAAAAGGTCGATTGTGATTTGGAAGGTTCTTCATGGTGCTCTTCCAGTGGAGACTGTTATGCAAAATAGAGGTTTTGTTTTTGCCTCAGTTTGTCGTTTTTGTTATAAGCATGAGGAATCTATTTCTCACTTATTTTTAGAATGTGATTTTGTTGTTAAGATTTGGGATCATATCTCTGAGATTTTTGGTAGGCGGTTGTGTCCCGCTCGAAGTATTAAAAGGATGATTTCTTGTACTTTTGAAGCTGATTTTGGTTCTCAAGTTTATTGTTTATGGTCTACTGTGATTGTTACTAACTTTTGGGCTATTTGGTCTTTGAGAAACAGGGTTATTTTTTATAGTGTGATTCCTAGTTTATGTTTTCTTTGGATGGCGGTTAAGCAAGCAGTGGTTGAGATTGGTAGGCTAAAGATTGGTGTTATGAGAAACTCCCTTCAAGAGCTTCTTGCTGTCGAAGCTTTTGGTCTTGCAGTTGTGCCTAGGAAAGCTCCTAAGATCTATTGTGTTGTTTGGAGGACTCCTCCGCCTGCTTAGATAAAAGTAACACGAATGGAGCTACTAAGAGGAATGGTTCAGCTGGGGAATGTGCGGTCTTTCAGAACTGTAGAGGTTTCTTCTTAGAAACTTTCAGTGTTTTCTTTGAACTATGCCTTGCTATAGAAGCTGAGATGTGGACTATTATTATGGCCATTAAGTTGGCTTGGAGTAAAAAGTGGAGGCGCATTTGGTTAGAAAGTGATTCTGCTAGTGCAGTTTATCTTTTTCAGAGTGCTAGTTCCACAGTTTCGTGGTCTCTTCAGAATGCTTGAATAGATGCTCTTGATAAGGCTAGCACTATTAATTTTGTTATTTCTCATTCTTTAAAGTGACTAATACTATTGCTGATTGTTTGGCTAGTTTTTGTGTAGTTTTTGGTTGTTACACTAGGTAGCATAATGTTCCAAGTTTTCTTCTTAGAGAATTTAGTTTGGATGCTTCTGGTTTTACAAGATATAGGTTCAAGGCTTGATGTTTTGTTTTTCTTTTCCTTGTTGTTTTTTTTTAGCCTCTCTGTTTTTTATGTATTTTTTCTTTTGCTTTTAATAAATTTTCCGTTGAGGTTTTTTCCAAAAAAAAAAAAAAAATGAATCTCAAAATTAATTCATCTCAGGTCAGGTTTTTTTTTTTTTTTTTGGCATGTGAGAGAGAGGTGTTACTTACTTCAACATTTTGGAGTGTATGCTATACAAGCTCTTGTGCCGTCCTGAGAGAACATGATACGAAATGCCTCTATCCTGTAGAGCTTTCTCCAATTTGTTTACGGCAGAAGTAATCATTGCCTCATCAAAGGACTCAAGAAGCTTGGAGGAGAGATCTTCGTGCTGGTTAGGGTAGAGGTGCTTAAAGCATAAATTCTCCAGCTGCTCCTTCCAAGTAGAGATTCCTAAACGGTTGGCCAAAGGAACAAAAATCTCCAAAGTTTCCTTCGCAAACCTCTGCTGCTTTTCCAAAGGTAGTGCATCCAGTGTCATCATATTATGCAACCGATCTGCCAATTTAATGAGGACAGCTCTGGCATCTGCCATTGCGAGAAACATGGTATGCAGTCGATCTGCTTCTACCATTTTACTCGCCGTATTGTTATCACGGGCAAGCTTACTCAGCTGGCTCAGCTTAGATACCTAACAAATTGCCACAGAGATCAAAAGCTGGTAAGGCTTATGTTAAACTCAAAAAGTACATAAGCATAGTCAGCAGAAAATAACTACTAAAAAACATTTTCCTAAGACAGACATAACAAACGAACCGTTTCAAACTGCAATGTCGAAGTAAAAGGTAGAACCGTAGGAAACTTATGCAATTAGCCACAGTTAAAAACAAATATACAGAACTCTCCCCCTAGTATAGAATTGCATGAAACTATATAAATAACATACTTTTCACAATCAAACTACATAATAGTGCCCTATAACTTGTGAGTCGAATTGAATAAAACATACAAGTTTCGAATATTTAAATTCTCACCCCTCCAACTAAATCAGCAACCCCATGTCCAAAAGTCTCATGAATGTAGTCGTAACTTATCAAAGAATCATCAAGCGTATCGTGTAAAAGCCCTGCAGCAACCACCGTAGAATTAGCACCAATCAGTGCGAGCAACACCGCCGTTTCCACACAATGCTGCAAATACGGATCACCACTTGCTCGCATCTACATCAAAGCAATGCAAAACACAAAAATTTCTCAACCAATATAACCAATATCCCAAATAAGATTATCTCTTAAGCATTGAAATCAAAACTCACCTGCCCTCTATGGGCCTTTTCGGCCTCGTAAAAAGCCTTAACAACAAACTCATCGCGGAATATCTTGTGCCGCAATTGCGCAGCCAGAAGCAAATCTTTAGCGTACGGCTCGGAATTGGACTCTGAAAAACCACCCTCAATGTTGAAGGTTAATTCATCCACAAGCGCAGCTGATAATCCCACATCCAAATTGTCTTCTCGCACCTCGAAACCCGTCGAATCGAAATCGATACACGACGATCCCAACGCACCTCTAACGAAGCCGTTGAACAAACCACTGCTTCCGCATCGAAACGAGCTCTGAAGATTGGTCTCCCCACTAGAACTACTCTTTTCCCTGGCGACCCTCATCGGAGGGCTTCTCGCCGAGCTCCCGCTGCACGAAACCGGGCCCTGAAATACCGAAACAGGGCTCTGATCCCTACTGCTCAAAGAAACCCCATTGAATTTGCTCGGAGAATAGCGAAAGGAGCTACTCAATTCCTTCAATTCTTCGCTTCTGTCGTGCCACAGAGATCCCAAATTGCCCAATTCTTCTCCTCCGCCGGAGAAGCTCGACGTCGAGGAGGCGTGCTTCAACGGATGAGAGGAAAACAGGCACGAAAGCCCACCGACAACCGGCTTCTGCGACGTGGAAGCGGTCGATGTCGACGACGAAGATCGGGAGCTCAATTCGAAATCGTACGTTGAGTGAGCATTGATCTGGCACGGGTGCGGCGTCGAGCAGACGCTACTCGGCGGGCTCGCGTAAAGAGCTATCGTCGGAACAGCCATGGAAAGTACTTCACTTTGCCTTCAAATCTCACCCTTAGATCAACACACCTTCAAGTCAACTACAAGTTCCTCAAAAGACCCGATCAAAAATTACCTCCACGAATAACCAAATGCCTCACATACCCAGAAATTGTACACTGAGATTTCAACCAAAGAAGAATCGAAACAAAAAAAAAAATTTATTTTTTTTTCAAGACCCAATTTTTTTTCTACCCAGATATTATAATAATAATAATAATAAAAATAAAAATAATAACCAGGAAACTTCCTCAAAGACCCAGAATTTTCTTACAAGTTTCTGAGCTACCAATCACTCAGCCGACGACGATAAAAACCCCCCCAAAAGAATTGATTATATTTTTTTCTGAATAAATAAAGGATTTAAGGGAGGATTTCTTCGGCGTAGGAAAATTAGGGAGAAAATTAAGCTACAGTATGTACAGATTTATATAGAAATAAGGAGAACCAAATCGAGTTTACAAAACGCGAACCCTAATTTGGACGTAATTTGGATGAACAAAGAAGGAAGAATAGTCAAAGACGATTGGAAAGAGAGACGGAGCTTCTTTTGATTTTGTGTGAGAACCAACCTCTGTCCTTGTCCTTCGTCTTCCTTTGATGTTAATTGATTAGCGGCCAGCGAATTGGGGATATGAGATTACCAGATTACCCTTCAGATGAAGCTGAAATAACGGGAAGGTGAAATCCGCATTTTTCTCAACGAAGGAAATTCGGTAGTAAGTTTGAATTGTGGTTTCGTTAATGGTGATATTTGGATAATCTAAATTAAGTTGGAACTGGAGGCTGGAGCTAATTAATTATCTGTGGGCCCGTTTTTATTTTGAGTTTTTGCTTTTTATTATTTTTTTTAACGAAGTTGTGCACGTCAAATGTAAACGAATCTGTTTAAGAAATATAGGGAAATAGAAACAGATAACTAATGCCAGTTTCTTTCTTTTAAAATGCGGAACACGTGTTATGAACTTGAAGAGTAATTTATCTGTTAAGTTTTAGAGCTCGTTTAGTTTATGAATTAGAATTATATGATTAGAATTATTTTTTATTTACGTATATTTTTTATGAGAAAAAATATTATAGCGAATCACGAATCATGATTCGAATCAAGGAATGAATCCCTTTACCAAACAGACTCTTAGTAACTGTGTTATTATAAAATATATAAAATCTTAAAAAGAAATGATAATAGAAGAAAAATAAAAATTTGGGGCAAGAAGTAAAGAAAAAAGTCAAAAAAGGATTAAAAATGAAGAAATAGATAAATTTTTGGGAAAAAAGAACCACACAAAAAGAATAAAGTTTTAGAGAAAAAGTATATAGAAAGGGTTAAAAAAAATTTGAGAAAAATAAACCAAAATGGAAAAAAAATAAAATTTCAAAACAAAAATTTAAAAGAAATAGTCAGAAAAAGACTAAAATTAAAAATTAAATAAATTTTTAAGCAAAAGAGACCAAAATGAAAAAAAAAATGCTTTAGGATAAAAATAAAAAATGGTTCAAAAAAGGATCAAAATGAAGAAATAAATAAATTTAGGGTGAAAATAACTAAATTAAAAAATAAAATAAAATTTAAGAACAAAAATAAAAAAGGGTCAAAAAAAGGCTAAAACTAAGGAATAAATAAGTTTTAAGGTAAAAAAAATAATAAAGTTTAAGGATAAAAATAAAAAAAAAGTTTCTAAAAATGATCAAACTGAAAAAATAAATAAGTTTCATGATAGAAGAAGCCAAAATAAAAAATAAAATAAAATTTTAGGATAAAAATAAAAAAAGTAAAAAAAGATTAAATGAAAAAATAAATAAAAATAAGGTAAAAAGTTAAAAAAAATTAAAAGGAAGAACTTTAGGAAAAACGAAACAAAAAACAAAAAACAACAAGGAAGAGTGGGGCTGCATTTCGACCAACAGTGAAGCGCTCAAGCTAGACTAGAGAGGATTTAAAAAAAAAACAAAAAAAAAAGATGAAGAATAACATCTAACAAGGAGAACGATTCCTTGAGAGCCGAAAAAGGAGAATATTATCTTTTGCTCCTAAAAAATTGATATTCCCCTGTGAATAATGAATATGGTTAAGAAATCTAGTGAAATTCATATCAAAACATTAATAAATGTGGTTACAAAATATAGTTAAATTCATATCAAAACAAATGTTTATGTATTTCAAATTCTTCCCAAAAATATATTTCAAATTCAAAATTTGTTCAGATGCGTATATTGACCGGCCATATTAAAAGAAGTGAGGAGATCTATAGATCCGTTTAGTTTATTGATTCGAGTTGAGATGTGACTTTATATAAGAGATTTTTATTGTAGTAATCAAGTTAGATATAAACATTTTTTAGAGCTTTTTACTGTAACAAAACTCAAATTCTAAACTCCAACTTCCATGTGCATCTGTTTAGTTCGTTGATTTGAGTTTTTAATTCGAGTTGAGATATGACTTTATGTGAGAGCTTTTTACTGTAATAAAAAAATTAAATGTGACTGTTTTTAAAAATTTTTTACTATAATAAAACTTAAATTCTAAACTTAAATCGATAAAGTGAACGGTCAAACACATTCCAATCCCAACTCCGAAGAATCTGTTCTCTTCAAATTATTTGACATTTATTTTTAGTTTTAAAATGAAAAACAGTAATAGGGGAACATTATTAAAAAGTGTAAAACCTGGAACCACGTGTCTGAGTTTGGTCTGCTATGATACACGGGTGTGCACAGTCATATTGTGTACCCACACTCTGAAACCCAATAAAAACAAAGTCAAGCTTATATTGTACATGGACTACCGGTACAAAAAACAGGAAACGCACCGGGAAAACTCTCTAAAAAAAATGCTTTTTTTTCTTTGCTGAATTAAGAAAATGCTAAGCAATGATTTATCTTTTCTTTTATGATTTACCAAAAAAAAATATTATCTTTTTTTTGTGACATCGTATATTAGAAACTTGAATGTTTATGGAATTTCCTTCGTAGACTTCTTTCTTGCGAAAACAAAATATATGGTTTGTTCATTTCGCTGATTCGAGTTTAGAATTTAAATTTTTTTACAGTAAAAAACTCTCATAAACAATCACATCTAACTTTTTTACTACAGTAAAAAGTTCTCACATGAAGTCACATCTCAACTCGAATTCTAACCTCAAATCAGCGAATCAACGAAATTAGTTCCTTTAACAAGTGCCCATGATTTAAGCCTAAAAAAAAAAAAAAAAATATTGCCGTGTTTGAAATTATTCTTATTTTTATTTTTCACGTTTTTTGAGAAATAAAAAATGAAAGTGATTTCAAAACAGTATTTGACATAATTAAAAATAAAAAATAAAAATAAAAATAATTTTTTAATTTAGTATAAAATGAGAGAAAAATAAAAAACAACTTTTAGTCATTTTTTATTTTTTATTTTCATTTTCTCATCTCAAAAGCAGAGAGAGACATTACAAGATTTTTTTTATATACTGAAAACATTTTTTTAATAAAATTATTAAACATATTTTTAAAAATAATTTTTGTCTGAGATTAAAAACGTTTTTATTTTCATTTTCATACAAAAAAAAATAAAATTATTTTGAAATAAATTTCAAATGCATCCAATGATTCTCTTTTTTTTCTGTGAAATTTCATAAAATTTCCCTTATAGAGAATTTACGTTTGATATATGTAATGGTTTATATAGTTCGTACTTATCCTCTTACATGATATTTTATATGCAATAGTTGTTGGAATGATAAACATCATTGGAACTTAAGTAAAGCGTTGTTAAGCATTAAAGGACATTAGTTCCCACAACTTGTTTGCCCACATAATGCAAATCTAACTTTTGGGCAGCATCTTAATCAGAGATGGGCCCACCATCCACCCTTGAAAAAACTAGAAATCAGAAGATGGGGCCCATCTCCTGATATTTATTTGCCGAGTATACTATTAACTACTAGTTTGGTGAAACAATCCCGATAAGGATGAGGAACCCACTGAGTTTTTTTATTTTTTTATTATTTATTTTATTTTATTTTATTTCTTAAACCAAGTTCTTCCATTTGGATACGTTAAGCAAAAATTATCTGTTTTCAATTATCCAATATAATTACTCATAATGTATGGGAAAATTTTGCCCCGACAATTCACAATCAAGATTAGTGCCTAAAGTAGTGCTTTTCTTGGACTATTTTAAGCTAGAAAACGCTTTAGACTTGATTCGCGTAAAGAGGTGGCAATACGTAATACAACACGAATATAAAGATACTATTTACACGAAATTAATTCAATTTAAAATATAAATATACAAAAAAGTATTTTTTAATCAAAATGTTTTAAATAGATTTAATTTGAATTACATCAAAAATTTAAGAATTGTGATTTATATTAACAATGTAAAATATAGATAAACGGACTAGATAAATAAATTAGCACTCGACTTATTTATATTAATCGTGAAAGTACATATTTAAGTGACGTTTTTAAAAAATAAATGACACGTGAGTCGATTAAAACACGACACAAAAATTTTTGTTCATTTACATTTTTTAAATTATGGTGACTTGAGTTCAAATCTTGATTTGTTAAGGTTTATTTGAGTATGATTTGACTTAGGACTCTAATTTGAGTTTGTATTTAGATGTGCACATTTTGAGTTATGTTTGAATTGAGAATCTATTTGAGTTTGTGTTTAAGTGGATCAAAACTTAAATTTGTATTTAGATAGTATTTTAATAAAAACTCAATGGTGATGAAAAATTTTAATAGGATATATGAGTGGCGTTTTATTCATTTATTCGTTGTGAATGCATAGAAGAAAAATCATCTCAATCAGAATTAAAATAAAAAAATTATAACGTTTTTAAAAATAAAAAAAAAATTATTTATTAATTTAAGTTTTAGTTTAAAAATTTAAATTGAAGATGGAACTCGAACTAAGTCCACACGAATGGGACTTAAATTACCACCCTAGAATAAATCTTACACGTGGTGGAAATACAAATACATCAATGAATTTGCTGAGCTTATTGGTGAATGTTATTGCTTTGCCAGATATATTTTCTAAAAAAATATATTTATTTTTAGTAGAAAATATTGGAGGGACAGTATTGAGAATTCAGATGGGAGAGTGAACCGAAACCATCCACCATCCTCGAGAAGCAATAGAATACGTCAAAGTCCATGATAAGGACCACCGCGTGCGAATCTAATTTCTCATTTTCTAATTTTATTTGATTTTTTTTATGTTTGTTTGTTTTTTTATGTTAGATTCAGTTTCGTGGAGGGCTTGAGAAGCACGTGGCGAAGTGATGGCAAAGACCACCGCCACTTTGTCAGCGAAAGCAGCCGCCACGTGGTAAGCGTGGCGGTTAGTAGGTCAGACTTCCTTCCGGCACGCTCTCAGATGCTGACGTTCCATTCTCAGCGCGTGATCATTTGCTGCCGACTCTCGCTCATTCCGATATTTCAGGGACGTGTTTGTCATCTTATCCGACGATTTATATGACTATGAATTTTCTTTTTCTCTTCCTTTTTTTTTTTTTCCAAAAAAAGAAACAGCTTCTAATAGAAGTCCCAAAGGCCCATTGTGATTTTGCACTTTGTTTAGTATTTAGGGC